TTTCTTTCTTTTTTTTTCTTCTCCCTTCCTATACACTAAATGACGATCACGTCCTTACACGTGTTTGGTCTCGTAGTTTAAGTCTCAAATATAATCGCCAAAGCGAGCATAGCTCAACGGTTATTAACATATATCTCTAACCGAGGTTATAAGTTTGATCCCCCACCCCCCATATATTGTACTAAAAAAAAGTCTTGAATTGAATATAATAAATGCTTAAGGCAGTCACACATATACTTTCGGTATCGTATATGTGAGTTTTTTTAGTACAACATGTAGGGGTAGGGGATCGAACTCACAACCTCTTGGTTGGAGATATATACTAATTATCGTTAAGTTATGTTTGCTTTGACATTGTATATTGAGTTTATGTTTTCATTTTCCTATATTATGACTTAGGATCTTCTCCTACGTTATCTGTAGGAAATAAAGGGAAATTTAGATGAAAATAATTTTGTTGTGCTGTGGAAGAAACTCACTGCCTTGAAAGCAATTTCGACAGGACATGGTGCTAAGTCGTTTTCTCGCTGGCTGCTCCCCAAGACTAACACAACTTCCTACTCAGACGTGCACTCGCCAGAGAGGAATTGAATCGAAAATCAAGCTCAAAATATTTTTGTGAAATACCACGGAGTAAAACTATTTTTCCATTCCCTAACAAGTAACCCATGAGAGGTATAAAATAAGGGAGGAAAGACAAAAACATTACAAGTATTTAATTTACAAAATTAATGTATAACGTTAAAATTAATTAAGAACATTAATAAAAAAACGTTTTATAACTTTAAAAATTAATTTCATAAATAAATTTAAAACGTATTGGAATACTCCTTCCACTTCTAAATATATGGTTACTTTGCTTTACTTTAATAATAAATTGCATGTGAGATACATTTTTCTTTTGACATTCTCAACGTTATCTTCTCAAACTACACTTGAGAGTTGGTGAAGAGTAGCTGACCGATCTATCCCTCTACATTATATCGTTTAAACTACTATAAATATGTTCATTAATTTTGTTAGTACAACATGTGAGGATGGGGAATCAAACTCACACCCTCTTAATTGAAGATATATGCCAATTATCGTAAAGTTATTCTTGCTTTGGTGCAACTATGATGATGTTGTTGACCAAAAATAGTAAATTTATCCAATGTACTAGGCAAGTTATTCTTATTCGTGTAAATCAAACAACACAAAACTTTATAAACAAAAGATCCAACTCACTTGGCATTAAGTTTAAGTTGCTAAAAATCATTAATTATATTGCTAAATTTGTGTTCATTTCATGGATTAAAAAAAACACGTCATGGTCTAATCCTGTACAATATAATCTTATTGCAAATGTTCCATAAATGCTATTAAAAAAAATGTTCCATAAATTAAAATATCAAATTCACTTAGGATAGTGTCCAAATAATTTTAAGAGAGAATAGATATTTTGTTGCACAATGCCACTACATCACTCTTTATGAACCCTTTGAAACTACAGAATTTTTTTTTTTTAACATAATTGATAACCATACTTAAAATTGGTGATTAGATTGATAATTAAATTTGAATATTTTATTAAAAAAAGTCTTTATCGATATTAATTAAGACAAACAAAACTATTCACCAATAATTATTTCTGATTCTATTAGCTGATTGAATAAATTAAGTGGTGTTGAAGGAAAAAATCAAGATTGCTGGACCAATCAACATAATTGGGTGAGGTCAAATATGTTCAACCAATCTAAGAGAGAAGACCGACCCACATATGAAGCCGAACTAAATGTCAAATCAACTGGAGAATCGACTAAGTCCTTTACGATCGACCTAATAACACCAACTTCAAGCATGAGAACCGACCACCGGCTTGATAACTCGTAACCGCCTATCGAGATGGTTCCAACAGACTTGTCCCCCCTCACTCGGTTGCCTATAAAAGAGATACCACTCCATTCATTTATGTAAGTTATTATGTATGAGCATAGTTTGAACCATCACTGACTTGAACTCTGGAGTGTTTGTTCCCTCTCGACAATCTGTAGTTCGTCTCAACGTAGGTCGATCTATTCGACTTGGCATAGGGTAGATTCATCAAATTTATTTATTTTTCACTTTATTTTCTTTCAAAAAAATCCCAAATTTCAATATAACATTTGTGTCCTTTTTATTTTTTATTATAATTTTCATAGCATTATCCAAAGGAAGAGTCTAGAAAGAACTTAGAACATGGGATCAGAAAGATGGAAAATTAAAAAATAAAATAAAATAATATTCCATTTGTGTGAATTAATATTAAAATAATATCTATAATTAAAATATTCGCCACTTGCACAAGTGCATTGCTATTCGAAACGCCGAAATTGAGGTCAGATGCGGATAAAAATTACGTGTCGGACTAGAAACATCCACGTGTAAACTTTTCCTGTTAGTTTAGCATTTCTAGAGAACCTTTTAATTTGGCGCCACGTAAGCCTTCTTGGTTTTTTACAATTTTCGTTACTTTTTATGAGAATAAGCCGCGACGATTTATTTTTTTTCCTTGTATTGATTTCTGTGATGTTTAATTATATGCTGAAAGTTAAATTAAATATCTCTTTTTGCTTAAATAATAATAATAATAAATATCTTTTTTTGCCTAAAGTATATGAAAAAAGTCCTCCATAGATAATATTTTTTTAAAGTTAAATAATCTCTATATTTTTTACTCCCCTTCATTTTAATTTAGTATATAAATATCTATCTTATTTTCAATTTTTTCCATGAATGTAGTATATAAAATATCTATTTTATTTTTTTTATTTTTATTCAGTCTATCCATTTTGATGATCTCTATACTTCTAAAAGTGACTATATAATTAAGTTGAAGAAATCGTTTACCTCTATACTATAATACTATAATGTTCTTTTCTTTAAATAAAATTCTACTAAACTTTTAAATGTTAAAATATTTTATTTTAACAAATAAAATTACATTTTTTTTTCAAAATAGAATGTAAACCACAAAATTGACTTTTTAAGAGATTATTTTACTACTTAACATACACATAGTTCAACAATTAAAAAAACCTTGTTTGTTTAATCTCTCTTGTTATATTATACTAAAAGCATAGATTAATTTGTACTAAAAAATAGATTATTTTAATAAATTAATTAAATAGTTGACTATTTTCTAATTTCATCTCTGTTACCTTGTTTATTTTGGGTCCGAAATTTTCTAATATTTCATTTTAATTCTCAAAATTTTATATTCTATTTTAATTCTTAAATTATGCCTTGTCTTTTATTCTTTTAACTTTTTCTTTTATAAACCATTTAACAAGAACATAAATATGTCTCAAGCCCTAGTTGTTTAGATGTCAATTAATTAAATAAACGAATAAAATATGTGTCGATGTTAAACTGTTGTTAAATAGTTTATAATAAACTATCAGCAGTGACCGATATAAAACTAAGGAATTAAAAACTTATGAAGCAAGAATAAACATGAAAATTTAAACTTAATTATGGAGTTCCATATCAAACAAGTCCTCTTATATAGAGGAATCCTTAACATTATTCGGTAATTAAACAATTGAACCAACAAATCTAAGTATAGCTCAACTCGTAAGATATCGATTAAAATGGTCGACCTTTGAGTCGATGTTCTATACTTTAACCAATTGAATTATAATCCAGTTGACACTCTCGTATTAAACTAGAATACACGGAATAATATGTATTTAAATTTTATTTTTGAAGAAAATAATAAAATAACAAAAATATAACACCTCATCCTTGTAGAAAAAGAAAAAATATATTGATTAAAAGGTTTGAGAGGACCAATGGAATTGATTGCGAATTTGTGGTACGCAATAGGCTCGAAGACCCCTGGTTCTAGAAGGCACATGAGTTCGAACGGCTGGTTCTGAATTCCGCGTAACATCATCTTCAACCAACCTCCACCGCTGCCCGTGGGGAATTCGCTCTTGGGTCGTCATTGTTCTTATCGAAAAATCGATAATCACAATAGATCCTCGAGAACACTCTTGGATTCGAGACCTGCAAAATCAAGTTACCAGTCTGACGGTCTAGTTAGTCTCTAAGCTCTATAAAATAATAGAAAAAGTATATGTTAATCCGTTTTTGCGTACCCCCTCTCTATTTGTCTCATAGTATTTATAGATGAAGCAAGGAAATGATCGTGGAGAAGTTTGGCTCCTCATTTGAATTAAACGGTTCCCACCCCGTCACTCCATGGAAATAGGAAACTTGCATGTTGAGTGGGGGAACAGTTAGACTGTCATTATGAAAATAGTGGGGTAGACTGTTTGACTTGACATCCAGCTCGACTGAGTGTTCGGCTCGGTTATTATCCGACCTCGTGCTCGGACAACCCCTCCTTTGATATTCTCCCTTGTAATTAAATTGGTGGAATGATGTGTCTTCGAGATCTGAAGGTTAAACAGTCGCTCTATCGGATCTAGACCAATGGGAGGTTACAATTTTGAATCCACACTCTGATTCATTTTGGACATTGAAACGATTTTTAGGTAGTGAGTCTCAATCTTTCAACCTACCCGTTTGCTGCTAGGTTCGAGAATCGCGCCAAACAAGGACCTCCAACAGGAGGTCCGCAGAACAGGTTATTAACTCAGTAGAACCAGGATATTAGATCTAACCGTAAGAATAATATTTGATTGATAAATAAGTCACTCTACAATCACCTAGAGGGACACCACCAAGATCGAGGCTAGCACTAGGGCTTGGATAGTCTCTTGTAAGAAAAAGGAAAAAAAAACCATAAAAGATAATTCCAAATTCCAGTACAACAGATGACAATAAACAATAAATATAAAACGAAATAATAAAAAGTAGTTATAAAGTTGAAGTTATTAAAAATTGGCCACGAGATTTCCAAATTCCCGAATTCCAACCAATAGAAATTTATTAATTAAAAAATGGGACCCCCTTCTTCTTCCCCCACCTCCGGCCATTTGTGGTCACTAATTCATCAGACTGCGAGCCCAGCCCCACCCCCATATCTCCCCATTCTCCACTTTCTTGAAACTTCCAGAACCTTCTCTCTCTCCTCCAACTTGCCCAAGAAAGTTCCTCTCCTCTAGAACTTTCCAATCATCGCCTTCCATTTGGTCAGATTCCTATTTATTCCATTCCATGCTTCCCCAATCGAATTCTGATTCCTCAATCGATTTCCATGCTTTGTTCTGTTCAGAATCAGATGATCGAAGGCGGCTGAATTGTTCAATCCAATTTCTGCGCGGTTAATTGTAGAGATGAATCCGATGAATAATCCTCTGTTTCCGGTTAAGCAGGAGTTTCCGGGTTCGTCGGAGGGCGGCGGAGACCGGGCGGCGATGGCGGCTCCGCTGCCAATGGAGGGGCTCCACGACGTGGGTCCGCCGCCGTTTCTGACGAAGACGTTTGAAATCGTCGATGACTTCAACACGAACCATGTGATTTCGTGGAGCTTTGGGGGATCCAGCTTCGTGGTTTGGGATCCTCATTGCTTCTCCACTGAATTACTTCCGCGATTCTTTAAGCACAATAATTTCTCCAGCTTCGTACGCCAGCTTAATACTTACGTGAGTGATTTTTTCGCGGCCAGTTTTTTTAATTCTTTCAGATGAACTTTTTTTTTTTGCCTCTTGAAAGAAAAATTCGTATGTTCAAGTTTCAAAATGCCGATATTGCCATTTTTTGTGCTGGTTGCGTATTAATGGCTTTATGGGTAAGAATGTAATTTCAGTTAGTAATATTCTGGAAACTTCGTTGGGAAATCTCTAGAATCTTTCTGTATTGGGAATTTCAATTTGTTTTGTTTGTTTGTATATTTCAATTTGGGAAATCAAATACAGATGTCCCAGTTTTGAATTTTTTCAGATGAACTTTTCTTTTTTTTTCTCTGTTGAAAAAAATTCGTTGTTCGAATTTCAAAATGCCAATATTGCCATTTTTTTGTGCTGGTTGCTTATTGATGGCATGATGGGTAAGAATGTAATTTTGATTAGCAATATTCTCGAATCTTCGACCGAAATTAAAGCTCTGCCCCCTGCCTTCGTTGGGAAATACATCTCTAGAACCTTTCTGAATTGAGAATTTCAATTTTTTTTTTTTTGTATATTTCGATTTGGGAAATCAAATACAGATGTCGCTAAAAGAAAAGCAGGAATCTCCCATCTGTACGGTTCGGCCATTCCCCTGTTTGTACTGAAATTTTCTTTTATGGAACAATTTGGCTTCAATGGAGAGATTCTTGAGAAATTTGTCCACCCAAAAGAAAAAAAAATGGTGGGGTTTCTTCATTCAAGCTTTGTTTCTCATTAATTGCAGGGTTTTAGAAAGGTGGATCCTGAATTCCTAGATGGGAGTTAACAATTTGGTTTTAATGAAGAGGTTCTTSAGAAATTAATCCACCCAAAAGACAACAAAATGGTGGGTTTTCTTCATTCAAGCTTAATTTCTCATTAATTGCAGGGTTTTAGAAAGGTGGATCCAGATAGATGGGAGTTTGCGAATGAAGGGTTTCTGAGAGGCCAGAAGCATCTCCTCAAGAACATAAAGAGAAGGAGGGCAACGTATCAGCAGCAATCTCTGCATTCCCAACAAGCCGGTGGAGCTTGTGTAGAGGTTGGCCAATTTGGAAGAGATGCAGAAGTGGATCGTCTAAAACGGGACAAGCAAGTGCTGATGATGGAGTTAGTGAAGCTAAGGCAAGAGCAGCAGAACACAAGAGCCTATCTTCAAGCAATGGAGCAAAGGCTGAGAGGAACCGAGATTAAGCAGAGACAAATGATGAATTTCTTAGCGAGAGCCATGCAGAACCCATCGTTTATTCAGCAGTTAGTCCAGCAAAAGGAGAAGAGGAAGGAGCTTGAAGAAGCAATAACCAAGAAGAGGAGAAGGCCAATTGAGCAAGGGCAACAGAGATTTTCAGGTGAAGCATCAAACACCATTAAGACTGAGCCTCTGGAATCTGAAGATCAATATGGGTTTGGGATGACAGAGCTGGAAGCACTTGCATTGGAGATGCAGGGGTTGGGGAAGGCAAGACACGAGGAGGAGGAAGAAGAAGAAGAAGAAGAAGAAGAGGAAAAGGAAGATAAGTCACTGCAATCGGAGGATGAAGATAAAGTTCTTGATGAAGGGTTTTGGGAAGAATTATTCAGTGAGAGATTGGAAGTGGCAAGAGGTGAAAATGAAGATGTGAACGTGTTGGCTGATCGATTGGGCTATTTGGGGTCAAGCCCAAGATAGAGCCTAATGGGGAAGAAAAGAATCACAATGTTCCCTTTGAAATGGAAGCTCAAAAGAAGCTGTCCTTCCCATTTGGGGTTTTTGATCTAAACCCTTTATAACCTTCTTTTGGTTTAGTGTTTTGGCAGGACAGGAAGATGAAAAGAGAGACACTACTGGTTTCTTCAGGGATACAGCCTTTTTTTGTTGTGTTTTTGGCATAATCTTTCAAAGTTCTAACCCAAATAAAATGTTGATTGCCCTTCCCTTTCCCCTTGTGCAACAACCACTTGTCCTTATATTATCTCCTCTGTTTTTGTTAGGTTTGCAGGAAATCTTATGATCTGCTTGGACTGAGTTCTGTGTTTAGTGATGCCTCAAGGTTTTGGTTTCTCTGGTTTTCTCATGTATATCTCATCAAATACATATGTGTTCACACTTTCATGATGTGTAATTCTTCATTTTCGCTACAAACAAATGTAGATCACTCACTCCAAAGCTCTATCAAATTGGGAAACATCTCTGTTGCTGAATACCTTGAAGAATCACAAGCTGTTTCGTGGTTAGCAAAACTTACTCTTTTTTGTTCTTCTTTGTTCTTGAAAACTGAAAACTTGGTGGACTGTGAAACCGTTTTACTTGTATATGTTTAATCAGCACGCGGTTCATCTGCTACAAGCCTTTTTCCAAGCCACAACTGCATCTCTTTCCTTCAAGGAATCATCAGAAAGAGATTTTATTTAATGGTACACGACTTTAATTTCTTCTTTGTGAAACTAGAAGTGGCATTGTTATAGGTTGGGTCAGCTTTGTGTTGATTTGTAAGATAAATACAAACAAAGTCTCACATTAACTAGGAAAGTCTCACATTAACTAGGAAAGAGCACGATCTATATATATAGATGAGGACAATTATATCCGTTGGATAGGTCTTTTGGGTGAAACCAAAAACAAAATCGTGGGGGCTATGCCCAAAGTGGACAATATCATACCATCGTGGAGATACTTGATTATTGACATTCGTTAATTAAATGATGACATGACATGACATGATTTAGATCATCGTCTACTAATTTTAGCACAACATGGCAAAATAATAGTGTTGAAGGAAGTGAATAGTTAGACCGAATAAAACAACACAGTTTATTGCTTGCTTCCGTGCCTAGTTTATATAGTTATCTAATTTTTTATACTATCTATCTACCACGTCATGCTACGTTTTTTAAGTATAATAAGTGAGGTGGGAAGATTCGAATTCATGACCTCTTAGTAAGAGGCATATGTCAATTACTGTTGAATTAAGTTCATGTGAATTAGCATCACATCATGCTATATTGGTCGATATCATTCAATAGATATATCACATCATACTATAGTCGATGATCTTAACCTAATAGAGTTAATATCAAGTTCGTTGATGGAGTTGAAATTTTAGACTAAATTTGGAATTTAGTGTACCTCTATTTTATATGTCTTATGCTTTGGGATATACTATTATAAGGAATATACTTGTGAGTACATATCTTACAACATGTCTTATGCTCTGGAATATACTATTATAAGGAATATACTTGTTAGCACGTCTCATTGTTGACAGTAGTACTAGAAATTTGATCGTTCTATAATTTTTTTAAATAGAAAATATCTTTTATATATATATATATCCTACATGTCAAAATTCAAATAGTGTCGGGACTAAGTATTCTTCGTATAATAAGACATTTATGAAATTGTCTCACTGAAAGCAAATGTTCTAAATGTTCTAAATGTCGAGGTCTTAGTTGCAATCATATTTTGTCGATTTTTTTTCATTTGTATAGAAATATCAATTCAGCTCTCATGTTGATGTTGAATTCATGGATGTATGGGTATATCGAGGGAGAAAAATAAAAATAAAACGATCTCATAAGTTGGAGTTGCTTATTGTTAACAAAATTGACTGTGTATTCAAGAAGAAATAATTGGAGAATATCGCAGAAATGTGGTGGGTAATTTTACTCCATTTGGATGTATGAAAGAGACTATAGACATATTTTGAATCTGTATCATCGGGTTATTAAGGAGACATGCAGATTTTTTAATTTGCATAGAATAATTATTAAAGGGGTGCTTCCAAAAGAAAATTACTTTTTCTTCCATCTCTTTTGCTTATAAATTACTTTATTATTTTGTTATGTTAGTCCGAGGTCGAATAATTGTCTAAATTAACATTTTCTTAAGACGTTAAATAAGATTAGAAAAGTATTTTATGGTAGTTTCTATAGTGTAGATTCAAAGTGGATAATATGAGACTAACCGTTCAAAAGTTCCAAAAGGATCTATGTCATAGCATCTATCATATTTAAAAGATTGACGAGATTCGAAGGGCAAAGATGTATTTATAGAGATAAAATGATCTTTGATCCAACTATAAATTAACTACGATCAATCACTTAGTGAATTATAAAATTGTAAATAATGATTTCAAAATTGTAAATAATGATTTCATTTGTCGATACAGTTAATCAATAATGTATGAGAATACAATTACTTGTTTATGATTATAATTAACCAAGGTGTTTGATAAGTTAATTTATAACATCGTTGGAGCTCGCAAATTTGCGGGTTTATTTGTTGTTGTCATTATATGTTGGAGATTTTTCTTAATTATGAAAGAAAATTCATTTATAGTTTAAGTTAAATAATCGTCCATATTTATGTACATTTTTTTCTTAAAGATTTTGAGTGATTTCATATCATAATAGATTTTATATATATTCATTGTTATAGCATGAAACAGGATGATTTGAAATGCCACATGATTTCAAATTATGTTTTTATGGAAAAAAAGAAAAAAAGAAATTGCAGTGGATGGCGAAAATCGTTTATGTATTTTAAAATATGTTACATGTTTTTTAAAATTTTTAAATATAGCACAAAATTTTACTTTTAAAAAAAAACAATTCACTTATATAGGTAGTATATTAGATACTCATATCAATAGTATGATATGAGTATATAAAACACTCATATCAATAGTATATCAGATGTATATCACATACATACTGCACAGACACTCAGTAGGATATCAGATGTATATCAGATGCATATATCAGTAGTCATATATATTACAGATATATATTACAAATATGTATCATTTGGGTAAAGTTGTCCTTCTAAAATTGGATCTCCGTTTTTCTTAAAGTGCTATATTTGAAAGAACTAAATGTGGTTGCTATTTTATACTTTTACTAAATGTTTTTTTTATCTCTGTTTCTTTTTAAAGTGCTACATTTGAAACAACTATATGTGGTTAGTATTTACTAATTTTACTAAATCTTTTTGTCATATTTATAACTAAAAAACTATAAAAAAAATGGCAATCTTAGATATTTAATGTACTTTTAATTGATATTACCAATCCAATTGGATATATGATGCCCAAAAGATTATGGGTGGTCCATGAATATAAATGAGCCTAGGAGAGTTTGGTGTTTGAAAAAAAAAACAAAAAAAAAAAAAAAACTAGTAATAGTTGGTATGTTTGATTTCCTTTTGATTAATTTGTAGTCTTTTTTTAGGTCGTAGTCTTTTTTCATTTAATGGAATCGATGTTGTGTGGCTTATGCTAGTGGATCCCGTGATACTACAGGGTCCCACATCTTTGCTACTAAAGGACAATTTGAAATGTAATTTTGTAAATATATTTATACACCAAAATGTCCCTAGTGTTTAATTTAGTCCTTAGATAAAAATATATGTTAAAATTTATTAACAAAAAAATATGTATCATTAAATTATTATTATAATTACCTTTGCAAAAAAAAAATTATTATTATTATTTTTTTTTTGAAGAAATTTTTTTAGTATAATTGCATATTTAGACACGATGGCATGTCACTTGAACATCTCACTTGAAAGAAATTGAATCTTATTGATTGATGGGTCAGATTTTTCTAAAAAACTGGATCATGTAGCATAAGATATCATGTTTACATGTCCAAATATATTAATATAAATAGTAATTTTATGATATATTAAATTTTTGTTAACAAAATTTTCATCAACGGACCTAATTGAGAACTAATACGTATTAAGAGTAAAATCGAGAATTTTAAAAGATTAAGGAACATGCTAATTACGAATTACTTCAAGTCAATTATTCTCAATTTATTCTCATAGTTATTTTTTATTCCTTGTGCTATATGTCCTATAATCAACTGTTTACAGTGATGTAAAAAATTACATTGTTCAAAGTTATATTTTCATCTTATTTTAATTAAGATGTTTATAAGATGAAAAATCTTATTTTAAGATGTTTATTAGATGAATTTTTTTCAGTACAACAGGTAAGAGTGGAGAATTTGAATTCATAATTTATTGGTCAAAGACAGGTGCCAATTAGCTAAGTTCATGCTGGCTTTATTAGATTGACATCAAACCGGCCAATTTCATCCATAAAAGTAAAAATACAAAACCTATGGGTAGAAGCTTCATAATTAATTCAGTCTTTACATAAAGTTTATGTTAGGATTAAAAATCTTCTTATAACAATTTCAAAAAAACAATATATATATAATAAATAACAATTATATCTATGTATAGTTTACTTTAAAATATTACTTACTATCTGAGTTAAATTCTCTTGTATTTTCCCACATTCTCATTTCAAGATTATGTTACACATCCAATAATCTCAGACTTATAATAAATAGGTATATGTAAATACATTGAAAAAACAACCAACTACTTATTTTTAATAAACCAGCCTTATATTGTTTTAGAATAAAAATGAGTTATCATTAAAAATATATTATGGTCAACAAAATCGCGGTGAATACATGGAACTAGTTAAACTTTGTCGGATTTTAATGTCTGGATAACAAATATTTGTGTTTGGATAATGCAGGATAATTAATATTAAGGAGATAAATGTCCATGTTTCTTTTATAGGTTTTGCTCATCGAAAAAATAATTCTAATAAATAATTAGTTAAAAATAATTTAAAGCAACTCATTTTTTCTTTTTTTGAAAAAGTTAAAAGCAAAAATTAATTTAGACATAACTAGTATATTTTTATCTTTGGATAATAATTATTAGGATTTTAACAATTCAACATCCATAAAACTAGCATGTGCCAAAGTAAGCATAACTTAACAATAATTGACATGATCTCCAACCAAGAGGTTGTGGGTTCGATCCCCCACCCCTACATATTGTACTAAAAAAAAACAAAACAAAACAAAACTAGTATGGATTTTCTCATCATTTCTAGAATCGTCTCAAAACTTGTAAAAACAAAGAACGAGAATGTAACCAAACGAGTCCTAAATGTTGAATTCAAGACATTTTATTTTTCTATTATGTCAAATAACTACTCAAATAAAAAAATGTAAATTAATGTGTTACAGTAAATTTCTCTTTTTTTTTCTTAATAATATGATCTTAATACTTTTTTTTTTGACAAAATACTTATTACGATTGTAGGTAATGTAACATTTTGTCCATGAGGATATAGAACTATAAATTTTATTATTATTATTATTTCTTTTTTGTTTTAGTACAACAATTCAAGGATATATAGGATTGAACATCTGACTCGAAGGAAGGAGTACATGCCAATTATCATTGAAAGTTATTAGAGAAGGAGAACTCGAATATGTGGGTCTCATGGGCTCGGGCTCCAAAATGTGTGATGTTAATTTATATCTTTTTAAAAAAAAACAAGTTATTGGACAATAATTACATAGATATTGTATTTAAATATTTTGATGTTGCAACAACACCAACTCATAAAATTTTTTCAAAAAAAAAAAAAGAAAGAAAGAAACACCAACTCATAAATGTTTCAATCAATTTTTTTCGTCATTTTTTAATATTACAGAGAAATATATTAGATAATTAATAAAGTCAAATGATTAGGCATAATAAAATTAAATATGAAAAAAAGAGAGATAGATTAGAGTGTTAAATTCTTGGTTTTTTTTAAGGAGTATTAAATTTCTATTGATGACATTTCCATCGGTATTTACATATATGTTCATGATCTCGACATCGATATGAATAGTGAATCGATAT